CATCTGTTATCCAAGAATAAATAAACATTAAACTATCTTACCTACTTTAAATATGAAAGCAGATCTAAGTTTTATATATATATTTGAAATTCCGTCAAGTAAGTCATCTTTATGGTACTAATGAAGCCTAAAGAACAAGGTTCGCTTTGGTTTATTGACTATTGTAATCAGCATAAAGTTGCCTTGTTGAAAAGAATCAACGTTTTTAGTGTAAATTTTCGTGTGTATTTTGACCCACTATTATGAGTTCAAAAAGCAGCTTTATTTTAAATAAAAGATGCCAAAATATTTATTGAAACTTCAAGAAAATTTTTTATATATATCATTTTTTTAATCTATTAAGAAGTTTATGTGTTATAAATGTTAAAAGAAATTTTTGGCATTCAAGCGAATGTTACATGCACTAATTAAAAAAAAGAGAAAGGATTTGCACACTGACTGATATATTAATATATATTAAAATATACAGTCAGACTAGCATAGTGGAAGTTTGTTGTTATGCGAAATGTTATACAGAACCCATCGCTCCTGAAACTTCACCATTATATAGTTGTTACCTCTCTAAATTGGAGATCAAGTTCAGATCCAATTCAAATCCAGTTTATCACTTACTTTTTATTGCCAGAATGTTTGCCGTGTATTGTAAAGCTACGCTGCACAATATAAAAAATTAATGTAACATTTCAAATTTCCACAATGTCAGTCAGACTCCTATATAATCACAACTTCGGGAATGTGAAATGTTAGTGATTATAACTGAATGTGACTATATAGGGTTTCTCCTATATAATCACTTACTATGTAATTTTAAAAATTTGGTGATTATAATAAATCTTTTATTTTATTTAACATCTCAAGTAGATAAGATATATAGTAAAAAAATAATAACAATTATATAAAAAAAACAACAAATAAAATGACTAATTAAAAAAACATTCCAGTTTTTTTTGTGTTTTTGAAAAAAAATCCTTCTTACAATCTTTTGTTTAAATTTTCATCAAATTCTGAATCATTTTGCTGTTAAATATAAATGAGTAATTTATTGATTGCTCCTAAGGCATCATTGTCGCCTACAGTAGCTTCTGGTTCATCAGTACCCTCACCTGATTCATCATTTATTTCATTTACTTCATTTAAGATCATCTCAATTATTTCATCTTCATTTAAAATCTCTTTTGTTAAAGTCAATTCATTATTGTTAATAAATTCCAAAACCTCCAAATTATTCCTAATATTTGACTCATTTAATAATTCATATAGCTTATCTCTATTATTTTGTTCTTCATTGGTTGTTTCTTCATTTGTAAATTTCTCTTTCAATTGCTCACTAATAGCTATACGTTTTTGGGGGGTTTTTTTTGGTTGAGACATGGTAATGGTAATGATGGTAATAATAATGATAGTAATGATAATAACAACAATAATGGTAATGGTAATTACAATGTCAATGGTAACAATTTATTAAACTTCAAAAATTCAAAAATTCAAAAATTCACACAAAATTCAAAAAAATTTTCAATTAGCCAATAATATTTACACAGACACATGTATCCATGCAGCCCAATTTGGTTTGGTGATTTCAATGGTCAAAATTATTCCAATCTTGATGGTAGAAAGTAGAAATTAATTATGGCACTCACTATTAAAAACATGAGTGTAACACCCCTTTACTACATATGTAATCCCCTTTATGACAGTGTCAGAATACTTTGGGCTACATGTATAGTCACATGAATTGGTGATTATATATGATGAAATTTTATATGTTGTAATTTGTTATGGAACTGCCAAATATTGGTGATAGTGATTACAATATGAAAGTGACTATATATGATTTATTTTATATAAAAAAATTGGGAATAAAAAATGTGTGACTATGACTATATTGGATGTGACTATATAGGAATTTGATTGTATAATATTTAACAAACATTTCTAGCTTCAGAATCTTTCAAAAACTTTACAAAGATTATATTCACAATCAATCTTACAAAGATCAGCTCACTCATCATTTTTTAGTATAATCAACTTTGATTGGTTGAATAAAAATAATAATCCAATTTTATGTACTTTTTTTTCAGTACAAAAAGCCTTGTCATCTAAAATATTACATATGCAGAGAGATAACAAAATTCTTGTGACTCCAACATTTGTACTTTGTTAATATAAATGAAAAAATAATTATGTGTATATATAATCTTTGAGTTTTTCACCATCAATCACTATATAACATTCACTTATTCATAGAAGGATCACCAATTAAACTTACTTTGTAAAAGATGGTTAATACAAAAATTGGAAGCACAACATAAAGCTATTTTCATGTTTTGGATGAATGTGGTTCATTTCCCTAAAGAAACACATAAAAAACAAACACACCTCTCTTACTAATGAGAACAACTTGAAATAATCAAAAGAAACTGGAACTGTTGAAAATAAAGGCAGTAATGGTTTTCTGTCTAAGGTTATCACAAGTAAAAAAAGGACAATTCGGAATAAAATCTGTGAAATATCAGGTATCTGATTTTTAGCTGATTTTTACCTATTTTAAGAATGGTGATGATTTTCTCATGATTGTTATTGAATTTTGTCGCACATTGGCAACAATCAGTAACCAAAAGGTAGAAACTTGGTGTCCAAAATCAGCAAACTATCAGGCAAAACAAATGTAAAAATAGTTCACCAACAGTAATTGCAAGTAAGTAAATTATATTTTCTTTGGATGGATAAGAGTGACTTTTTAATAACTTGGATCTTTTTGGTTTCTAATTGCAGAAAAATAATGATTTGTCAGGAACACTATCATCACCACCAAAGGAAATTGATGAGGATGAAGATGATGAAATAGTATAATCATTATTTGTTTCAATAAATTAATTAATCTTTAGTGCTCAATAATGATTAACATCGTCAATTCAATATATTATTATTTAAAGGAATTTGAGGATTCAGTAATTAAATTTGGATCAAATTATAATGAAGTATGTATTTTGATTATTCATAAAAATGGAAAAACTTTACTAATTTATAATTATTTAAATAGGCTCTAAAAAGCATAAATAAAATATTATGGAATTATATAATTCTGCTGATAAATGGTAAAATTTTTTTTTGATAATCATAATTTATTCGTATTAATGGAATATTTCATCCGGAAAATATAAAAAAATTTTACACGTGTCAATTGTAAGTTTAATAATAAAAAAGTGTAAAACTTACGTCGGCACTGTAAGATTTACACAATATTACGTCGGCATCGTAAGATTTATGCAAGTTTACGCTAAATTAATTTCCTGATGTTTATATAGAGGTAATTCTATATATCACTTAATATTAAGAAGATAACAAATAGAAGATTTTAATAATCAAATTACTAAATTTTGATCCCTGAAATCCTTGGTAACACTAATGTTCACTTTGTCTGGTATTGTTGCAGCATGACCCATATTATTACTCAAAAAAAAAGGATCTAATAGAGAACAATCTTTATCTGAGGTCCTATAGTTTCTAGATTTATACAATGCAGGACACCTAGTCCCTACAGCTTTTGTTGGTTTTGGAGATCCTTTAACTCCTCCAAAAATGGAAATGCATGACCAAAAAAAACAAGATGTAGTTTGGAGACTAAGACACAGTGTGTAAAATTGAGAGAGTGCAAAGGGCGCGTGTAACACTATTAACCAATCAAATTTTGAATTTCTGGAAATAGTTTCTAAATTTATACTAGTTACACAACGAAATTTACTCACTGCTATGACCTTTCTTTACAAAGTTACATCTTCATTTTTTGTTGATATGTCAAGTAGTTGTAGAGGAATTATCAAAGTTGCACGAGCTTAACAAATTTACTATGTAACCCCCCAAAAGTGACGCGTTACACACAAAATTATTGAAATTTTGTATGGTAATTTTTTATCACGTGATAACGAAAAGAAAACCATATTATTGAACAAAATTTTTCTTTTTCTAATACAATTGGTATATTAATTGTTGCATATATACTACTTATATTAATCTTTAATTATCTATATATACATCTGAATAAAATCCTGCACTTGACAATCTTCACAAACATGTGACAAATAAGATTTTATTGCATTTTTTGATTGTAAAAACTGTCGCAGCGGCGCAGAAAGTTGCAGTAATATTTATATTTACTATTTTAACGGATTAACCCATTATAATTACCAATCCGGATGAAAAAATCTTAATGCCCATAACGTTAATCCGTTAACAATCCGGGTCGTAACACTATTACTATGAGCGAGTAAAAGTTATGGTTTTCATACTATGAACTATATTTTCTGAGATTGTTGGTTAGGCATTTTGATATTATTTGATTTTATAATAACAATGTAATTATTAATAATATCTGTAATATATGCTGAAAATTTGTATACAAAAAAAACAAATTTTTATATGTTTAAATTGAATTCAACACTATTACTACAATAACGCTTTATAATCATGGTTGCTTTGACTTCTACAGGTAATTAGTGAATGAATGAATAAAAAAAATTTTTTTTACAGCAACAAATGTCATTAATCGAAATTATAGTTAAAAAAATTAAGGTGGAATAATTGCTCTGCTTGACGAATCAGAAGAACAACTAAAAAGTTTACTCATTTCAAAAACTTAATTCTGTTATTGATCAATTTTGGGCAAAAATTTCGGAGGCAATGCAAGTTTAATGCTTTTATAATTACTGTAAGAAATATTTGATTGGTCAATATAACCGCGGATATAATATGTATTCAAGTTAGAATGGGAACTAAAATCCATAGTTAGGATTAGATAGAGTGGACATTTGATTTCATTGGCTAAATTATGTGACGATCTCCCTTCCAGATATCACGCAAAAAATTAAATTTTATTGGCTTG